CGGCATCAACAAATACTTCGATAAAGTTGGATTAGTTTTTCAGTTTGGATATCAAAACGAAAGTTTTCAGGTTTCCATTTTCATTTAGGTTTTAAGCTTTTGGTATTTGCCGGCTTTAAATGCCCTTTCCGTAGTTTTATGCTGAAGGCACCTCTAGTTTCATATGGAATACATACATCCTGTTCGTTATCTACAGACGCCTCGATATAGCCATATTTCCAACTGGTTTCTGTCTTCCTTAGGTGGAAATACTAAAAATATACTAAACATTTCCAGAAACAGTTAGCTTGTTAATGAAAATATACTCCGAGTCCGAGTCTCGAAAAGTAAATGCTAGAAAGTTTGGCATATAAAATAGATGTGTGCCCAAATACGCTTTGTTCGTCATGCTAAAAAGAAATACTAAAAATATACTAAACATATTCCGAGAAAGTTAAGGAACAACTTTTTGTAGAATCGCTCCAATTAAGCGCCGAGTCTCTAAATCAAAGCCAGAAACTTTGGTATATAAAATAGATGTATTTTGGGTAAATTTATTTAAAATACCAAATTGTTTAGCTTTTGCTTTTAGAGGGTATTATTTGTGGGGTATACTAGAACAAATTTTCACTTTGCACTTCATGGTTAATGGCAAACATTTCAAAAATCTATATATACCAAATGCACATCAACTGGTTAACTTATCTAATTCTAGATATATATATATTTTTGTTGTTGAAATTATTTGCTCATAGATTTATTTGGTATCATGCAAAAGAATTTTGTGTTGATTGAAAATATTCGCAAATGGAAGCTATAAAATGTTGCAAACATAGAATAAACAATAAATATTTAGACTGGATGCAATCAAGAGCTAGCTCTAGTGCAAATATTTAAGCATTCTTTGGAATTCAAGATACTCGATTTTTATTTAGTTAAGCAACTAAATTAAATAATATCATTTAAGAGCTGGCATCCACCAGTTAAGCCAGACATAAGCCCATATCTCAGGTCGCAGCAACAAAGGCAAATACAAAGAAATTGTGGATAAAAGTAATGTCAATCAAATTTATGTACTTTAACAATGGGTCAGGCAAATTTTCCGCTCAATGGGCTCAAGTAAACAGCACACTTTAATTTCCATTTGCACACAACAGAGTATATTATTACATCTAATACCCTGTTATCGGCCGAAGCTGAGCATGTGCGAAGCAGAAGAATTCGCTATTGTTTTTTATATGCGACTGCGAAATACCCTGCAACTAGCTAGTTCTACTCTTAAGAGGGGGCTACTCTTAGGGGCATAATCTGAAGGAGGTGGAGCTCAAGCTCAAGAAGTGCTCAAAGATACAACAGAATAAACCAGAATGCAAAACCCTGTTTGTTTTGGTTGGTTCGAATATATAGAACAGCTTACTTTTACAGGGTATATTTATATTAGTGTACTTACATAGAGTATGCCCGTATAATTACGTTTTGGTCTACTTCGGCTACTTCGAGAGCGAACTGTTTTTAATCCGGGACTTGAACAAGGTGTTTACCATAATTAAAACAAAAAAATGTGATCATAAAAGAAGAAGAAATGATTTATTGCAAACAATTTGTTAAGTCTTAAATTTTACTCTTAATAGTTAAGCCAAAAAAAAAGAAGATACATGAATGTTATGAATCCGGCTCACGAACCGAATCTAAAAGCAAAAAGAACTGGTTCGTGAACCGAACCACAGCCAACTTTGCTTGCGTGTGCAGCCCTGGCGTAAATATATGCTGAATGTGAACCAATGCAACACTTAATTTATTTTCATAGTTCACTAAATGCATTTCTGGGAATCGATTCGTTTTTTTTTTGGTTTTCTTTTTAAAGAGTTCAAGCAGCGCCCTCTGCAGTCGAAAAGTGTTGTCGTTATCTTTTGAGCTCTTCTTTGCGCTTCTTGTCTAGTAGATGTCTTCTCTAGACGTTGGGTTGCGCTGCCTGAAACTGGTTTCGTGTCTGCGTTTTTTTGTCCTAATCTCAGCCTGCGCTTGTCTCTTGCACTTTTATTTCTTTACATTTTTATTTTATTTTTTTTTTTGTTCGCTTGGGTAGCGTGATTGTGTCCATATGAAAGGCATATTAGCTTTGGTGTCGCGGCGAACAGATACTTTAAATAGTTGAACAATTGCGTTGCAAATTCAATTAGCTCTTGTTAATGTCAAAGTTAACTTAACAATCATTTAAAGCAGTTGCCTGCTGCTCATTGTTGAGCTTGCTTTGTGCATAAATTTGTTATATGTATATCAAAGTAAAGCCTGCTTATGTTAATGTCAAAGTTGACAGCTGCCTTTTAATGCATTGTCAAATTGCAATGCACTTGATTACACTCTGAGCTGTCATTTAAAGTTTTACAATCAATTAAACAGCCTGTTAAATGGGCATATAACTGATATAATTGTAGTGTGACCAGCTTGGCAATGCAGTGCGCAGTGTGACCAGTTTAATGATACATTGCGCATCTGGCAACGCCGCACAGTCGTTAATAGATGTTTGTTGACACACTCTGCATATGGAGTTGTTGTCAAGGCATGAGCTACATAATGTTAACATGGGCTGTAAACTTGCTTTGAGCCGTGCTGGTTCAAACTCTTTATTCCTATAAATGTGTATTATGAACCGAACCTTCTATCGAAATAAGTAAACGTTGCATTTTTCTGACTTGAACCAGCTGCTGGGTTCCTAGTGTTAAATGTTAAGACAGGCAGCTGGTTCGAACCCTGAACCAAACGACACTTAACTGTTTAACTCTTAAAGATTGGTAGCTCAGTTAAAGCTCTTGTTAACTTATTAACGTGAACTTTGAGCTGCAAACAATTAGAGAGTATCTAGGCAGTCGGACACAGGGCTAATGTAGATATACGTGTAGTATTACACACACACACACACATAGTTTAAGTCTGTATGTTAGGTATGCTTGAATGTGAGTCATGTCAGATTGTTGTTGTTGTCCCTGTGCGTCAGCAACGACACGACAACAAACGATAGCTGCGATTTATTTATTTGTGCTGCGGTGGCAAAAGTCAAACCGGAAAGGCACACACACTTGCACAGAGAGAGAGAGAGGGGTAGAGAGGGAGAGAGCGATATACAAGAAGTGTCTGTGGCCTGGCCACAGACCTCGACGCGTCCAAAGTTGGCCCCAAAAGGTGGCCAGAAGGAAGCCAACAACAGGCAACAAGCAGCCGCTTTGACAGCCCGAATGCAATTGCCAATTGAATTTGCTAAAAGCATTTGCCTGATCAAAACTAATGCGAAATGGGGGTAAAATGGCAACAGCAACAGCAGACGCCACAAATTATTCAATCAAATATAACATAATATTATTGAGTGCCAAATGCCGCTGAATGTGATAATAAAATCAATTACATTATTGTTATCCACATTTGCTGCTTTGTCAACTCGTTTTTTCTTGAACCTCGCCGAGGGTATTCTGATTTTGTCATCAAGTGTGTAACGTCCAGCAGACATGCCCAACCAAATATAGAGTATTTATTCTAGATCAGCATGAACTAGGCTAGTGGATATAGCCTGTCTATCTATACTCTTGAAACTGTGCCCAGGTCCGGGCATATGTCGCAACTGTTCGGAACTAGCCGCATCGGACGACTATATCTATCACATAGCTTTCATTGGTCGAAAGTTTGTTTGCTGTATGGAAAACTGTTTTGTGTATCAAGATTAGTTCATAATTTTCATAATTTTTGCTCTGATCTCTCGGTAAATCCCCCATCTGGCGCACATAAGTAAGTGTGAGATCAGGCAAACATATTTATGCCAAAAATGATGAATGCCCTCGTGGCTTTTAAAATCAAATGTGATTAAGTATTCATGAGAACTGACAAGCCTTGTGTTCGGTGTTCAGCGTAAAATCTGTTTGCGAAAACGAAAAAGAGGAGTTACGCTTCGAAGTACTATAGATTTATTAATGAAATAAGATTCCTGTAAAATATGCCGTCTCTCAACTATTTAGGTATATATACATGTGTTCGTCCAGTTGGCATCTATGTTGTGTAGCACCCTTCTTTGCGATTCTCATGAGTTCAAGTAAGGCCTACAGCGGACATTTCATACAAATTTATTGGTGCTATTCTCTTTTCTTTTTATTTCTTTCTCACACAATAAGACTCTCTCAATAACTCTCCCTTTAAGTTTGATTCTCTCCTTTTCCTTTCTCACTCTCTCGTCCTCCTTCTCTCCCGCTTAATCCTACACCCATTCACTCTCTCACTTTCTAAATTCTCTCTCTCACACATCTATCTCTCCTTCTCTCTCTGTCTCTTATTGTCATGCTTTTTCACTCTCTCACTCATTCACTCTAACCTTTAAATATCGCCTTTCCATGCGATTTTCATACGAATTGCTTCTATTTCAATTTTATTTAAATCTTTCTCGCCTTCTTTCGTTCTACAACAAATGCAACCTAAATTTGGTTTCCTTAATTAATACAAATAGTGTTTGAAGATCGTTTTGAAGGATTTGCCAGGATTAGACTCATTTGTTGTACAAGTGCAATATTTTATTTTCGAGTAGATGCGCTCCATTGATAAGTTCAACAATTGCAAATGCTCGAGTTTATCGTAAACAAATTCAACTTGACCCGAATCGTATGTCTGTGGACTGCGGCGCGTTATCAGTGCCAGTGCCAAGTGCCAGCCAGCCACAAGGTGTTCCAAGCGATCAATCGGATCAGACTCTCTTTCTCGCTCTGTCTCCCTCTTTCTCGCCCTGTCTCCGTTCCGCTTGGGCTCTTAAATGGATCGGCGAACAGCAAGCAGCAGCTCATTTGAAGATTGTCAATCGAGTGGGCAACTCAGATACATAGTTTATTATAGATTCCTTCGAAATGCTGCCCTTCCATGGCGTGCATTTTGCCCAGCTCAGCGCCATGGAGCGTCGCTGCCGGCGGTACGTTTCGATGGGCAGCAGGATTATCCAATCGCATTATCATCGCATATACTCATTTTCTGACATCTCTCGTTTGTTGCAGCAATGGCGTTAGCGTGGAGGGCGCCACACACAAGCAGGTGGTGGATCTGATCAAATCTGGTGGGGATTGCCTGACCCTGACGGTGATATCTGTGACACAGCAGGAGGCCGACAGACTGGAGCCGCAAGAGGATCAAACCGGCTACTCCTACATAGACTACTCCGACAAGCGCTCCTTGCCCATCAGGTGAGTAGAACCCAAACACTAGAAGGCCACCGCCAGACTAAATTCCCGTCTCTTTTACAGCATACCCGACTACAGCATTGTGAATCGGAATGGTGAACGTTATATTGTCTTCAATATCCATATGGCCGGACGGCAGCTGTGCTCCCGTCGGTACCGTGAGTTCGCCAATTTGCATTCGCTGCTGCGCAAGGAGTTCAGCGGCTTCAACTTTCCGAAGCTGCCCGGCAAATGGCCATTCCAGCTGAGCGAACAGCAGCTGGACACACGCCGGCGCGGCCTCGAACAGTATCTGGAGAAGGTGTGCGCGGTGCGCGTAATTGCCGAAAGCGATGCTGTGCAGGATTTTCTAACCGATACCGAGGATGATATATCCGCATCGCCGGTGGACATAAAGGTTATGCTGCCCGATCATGAGGTGACCAGTGTTTCGGTTAAGAAATCGTCCACTGCCCAGGTCGTCTGGGAGATACTGGTGCAGCGCGCCAATCTAACAGCCTATACGCAACAATATTTCTATCTATTCGAGATTGTCGAATACAATTTCGAGCGCAAGCTACAGCCGCACGAGATACCGCATCAGCTCTATGTGCAGAACTATAGCACCGCCTCGTCGACATGCCTCTGTGTGCGGCGTTGGCTCTTCTCGATCGGCAAGGAGCTGAAGCTGCCCGTTGGCGAGCAGGCGGCACGTTTTATCTTCTATCAGGCGGTCGATGAGGTGAATCGAGGCAATATTCGGGCCGATGGCCGGCTCTATGAGCTGAAGGCCTTGCAGGATGCCAAAAAGGCCAACGATTATTTAACACTGGCCCGCACACTGCCCGGTTACGGTGATGTCGTCTTTCCGCACTGCTCCTGTGATAGTCGCAAGGAGGGACATGTTGTGCCCGCCGTCGGTGAGTCGCAAATCCAACCCAATAAAACACACAAAGCAAAGAATCAGAATCATATGATACACAATACGTTGTGGTATATTTAGTATATATATTTTAGTATGTTTTTAAAGTAGCACCTTTCTTTGCGATTCTCATGAACTCAAGTAAGGGCCACAGCGAACCTGCCGGAGCTTTAATTTTCGTTACCATTTTCTCTCTTTCTTAGTCTCTCTGTCTCGCTCTATAAGTCTCACTTTCCCTTTTTCACTCTCGCGCCCTTCATCTTCCTCGCTTATTTTTCCTCCATCCATTATATTCGTAAGAGCAGTCAAACAATGCGAACTAATCTATTTGCTTATTGCTATTCGCAGGAATAAAAAGCTTTCGGCTCCACGCCTGCCGCGATGATGGCTCCCTGGAGGCGCAAATGGTGGAGCTAACATGGGATAGCATAACGCGCTCCGAGAGCGATGAGGAGTCCATGTCATTTTGCTTTCAGTACAATCGTCCAGATAAGCCGGCACGTTGGGTCAAAGTCTATACGCCATATGTAATTATAATTGATATACCGTTAACTGTTATACATCATCTAACTGTTATACATCATTGCACTTGTAGCACGCATTTCTTGCGGACTGCTTTGATCGAATTATGGAGGAGCGCAAATGGGAGGACAGCGGCGATTAGGAAGCAAGAAAGGAAGGAAGCAAGGAAGATTGTATACACACACATATTAGTATATATAATATATACACGTATATATATATATATATTGCAGCGTAAACATCTCAACAACATCACAGCGAGCGGCTCAATGCAATCTTAGTCACACACACACACACACACACACACACACCTCCACACCTGCACACATACACACACGCTGAGAATTGAAATTTAGCAGGTTACGTTTTTGAAATTTTGTGTATTCTTTAAAAAAGTTTCTATAGCTCTCAATTGTGTGTCATTGTGTATATATACAATATGTATTGTCGTGTGCCTGTGCCTGTTCGTGTTTTCGGTTTCCGTTTCCGTTTTGAGTTTAGTTTAAGCAGAAAGTGAGACAAATAGACCAGGACCAAGAATGCCTCCGCCAACATAGCCACAGTCACAGTCACAGTCCAGAGCTCTATAAATGAGAAATAGAATCTTATGTTGTAAGTGCTATATCTTATGTATATTGTAATGAATATATATATAGAGTAACTATGATATTTGTAAATTACGCAACGGGGTTTAAACAAGCAACATTCAAATAAACAAAAGCTAACAACTAATGTTAACAGCGGCAACAAAATGTTTCAAGATTATTAACAGCACCTTAGCACATAGAGATAGAGATAGACAGTTTAGTGTTAGAAGAGAAGAGAAAAGTGTTCACAAACACACACAAACACACTCACACACAACACCCATTAACACACACAAAGCAAAGCACCAATTAAGCAAATATTAGAAGAAAAAAATAATATTAAAAGAATAAAATAAATGATTCTCATTAAAAACTAATTACAAAAATAAAAAAAAAATATCAGCATAGAAAGCAAATACAAAAATGATTTATAGAAATAATAAATTCTAATTCTATACACATAAAATGCATACAGACACACACACACACACACACGCATATATACATGCCTATACATATATATATATAACTTTTTTTTAGTAGTCGCAGAAGAAAAACTAAATAGCTGCTAAATAATGTAAAAAGTCAATTTTAATTATACAGAAAAAAAAAACAAAAACAAAATAAATTGCATATGAAATAGAACTTTATATAGAAAATACAAGCAAATATATATATATATATATATATATATATATATATATATATACTATATAGTATATATAATAAAAACTGTACGAATTGTCTGAAGTATCATTTGTATGTGTAGTAAAAACAAGAAACAAATTAAGAAACAAAACAAACAAAACGAAACATGTTGAAATTATGTACTCAATTTTAATTTTTTTAGTAGCAAAAAATGTTAGTTACACTTAAGAGCTGTTTATAACTAGTTATTGAAACTAAATATGCAAATACAACAACAACAACAAAAATACAACAAACAAAACATTTTGGTTAAATTGCGATAAATGTAAAGCAAATGTGTGCGTGTGTGTTGCGTGTGCGTGTAAAAGTTAACAGAAAATGTTGTTCAAAATAAAGCTTTATTGTAACAAGCGGCAAATATAACAAAAATCGCTTAATTTAAGCAATGAATGTAATACACACAGGCATACACACACACACACAGCCACACTAGATTGTATGGAAAACAAGAACAAACACTTTAGAAAGCAGTACAACAAAAACACACACAACTATATTTATATGTACTCACACACACTCACACACAATTATACACACATATTTACATGTAAACAAATATTTGTATATATATATCTATGTACATATATATGTTATATATTGAAATACATATATAATATATATATGCATATATCTCATATATATATAAATATATCTATATATTTATCAACGATGCAAGTGACGTCTGCTTGTGATATTTACAATTTACACAATTATTATTATGCTTATATATTACCAATATGATTATTATTATTATGTATGTATGTCTATTTCTTTTTTTTTTTGTCCAATTGTTTTGTCATAATTATATTTATTCAATGTATGTAATTTAATATAACGCGCTATATTGTCTCATATATATATATATCTATATAAAATTATGTATATATATATATATATATATATATATATGTATGTTAACTAGCTGGCATTTGTCGGCCTTGCCCAGTCCAAGTTTTTTTTGCTTCAAATTGTACACGTGGATTTTCCACCCATTTTCCGCTCGTGAAATGTTTAAATAACTTTGTGTTCTCGACGTCTCAAGTTACATTTTGTATAGATATTTGAAAATGAGCTTGAAAGTTGCATCTTAACAAATTTCTCTGAAAATTAGTTTGCATTCAGTCGAATGGCAAATCCCAAATCACGACATGACGTGATTTTTGAAAATTCCACCCAAAAATGTGGAAAGTTGTTGTATATCAAATTTCACAGAAGCGAAAATAAATGGAAACTGAATATTTAACAATTTGAAGAAAAAACAACTTGACCCTGGCCAAGCTGAGCAATCTCCGCTAGCGTATAAGTATATGTATATATATATATGTTTGTATATGTATGTGTATATCTGAACAATGCCTCAAAGTAATTTGTCACTCATTCTTATGTGCGTATCCCAGAGATACACGAACAAAGCGTCGCTGGCGGAATGTTTAAATAAAATCGCTAAATAACAAATATATATTTAATAAAAATAAAAAAAAAATTAAAAAAACGATAAGCAAAATCTGAAAAAATACAGTAAACACTCTTGTAGACGCATTGCTCTTTGGCCATTTACCTATAGCAAACGTTTTACGTTTTTTAGTTTGTACAACTAACTATGTATATTCCATAATTATTATATATGTATATCTATATGTATATGTTTATTATACTGCTCCATAAATTATATATAATTATGTATAACTGCTCTGCTATTCTATTCTATTCTATATACACATATACATATTTGTTGCCTTTGTATTTGTTTTGTTTGTTTTCCTTTTCCATTTCCTTTACTTTACTTTTTTTTTTGTGCAGGAAAGAAATTTGATGAGCCGCAACAAACAATTGAACAATTGAACAAAAAGCATAGACAAAATGTTAACATATTTAATTAATAAGCAAATCATTTGTATTCGTATTTGTACAATTTAAATAGCAACAAAAGCAACAGCAACAACAGCATAATTATTTCAAAATTAAAATCGCAAAACCTCAAGCAAATATTCGTAATGAATTAAAAGCCGAAACATTCCTTGAAAACGTAAAAATTTCAAATTGAATATCAATGTTTTCTTACATATTAAATATACATAACGCAAACAAATAAATAAATTTAAAATAAAAAAAAAAAAAAAAACAAAAAAAAAACATTTACAACAAATATGCGCCTAATTCAACAATTAACAACTTTATCATAAAACAAAAAACTAAAAAAAAAATATTTAAACGCAAACAAAACGTGCGCTTCATATAGCGAGTAACTACTGTACAGGCAGTAACAAGGCAACAAAAAGCGAAGAGCAAACGAACGAAATCAAAAAACAAAGTAAATAAAGAAGCGCTAAAGAGAAACCAACTAAAAACAAAATATAAGAAAAATGAAAAAAAAATACCAATTTATTGAAAATAAAAATTGCATTTTTTCCCCTTTTCAAAAAAAAAAAAAAAAAAACAGAGTTTCAACCGTTTCATTTTGGGTTATCTTGTGCCGCATTTCTTCCATTCCTCTTTATCGCTCATTCTTAAACGTTTTCGCTCTCGTGATAAGTTTTGGTTATGCTGGCAATATTTGCATTTTAATATCCATTGAAAGTGGTTGAAAAGTTTTGAATTTTGTTTTCTTTTCAATAAACTTTCTATGCTGGTCATCGTATCGAGTATTTTATTTACTGAATCTCTCTGCCTTTGCAGATAAACTCTGGCGTTTTGGTATATGTATATAAATGACAGTCGATCCCTACAAATTTCATTAAGTATGAACTATAAGCACCCAAGTTATTCAAGAAAGCAGTTACCATATATATATATATATATATATATATATATATGTGATAAGTCCTACTATTATTTTTGTATTCTTTAAGCTCTTCTATTTGTAACATTCAACTAGAACATTTGCGACTAGAGCAGGTCATAAGCGTTTATTTCTGTATTCTTTATGTTCTCGCATTCGTAAACTTTTCATTGCCTGTTTGGAATAAGCAAAGATTCCCAGGGTATGCATAGCTTGGCATTTGATTTTAACTTTAACACATGCATAAATCAATTAACTGGGCCAAATTAAATGCCGTAAACAGTCGCCAACAGCTGCGTGCTATTGGAAATTTCGCGCACGACTTGTGCTTGACCCCCATTAATTAGAGAGAGAAAACGAAAGTGCGAGTGGAGAGAGGGCGAGAGTGAGCCAGTGAAAGAGAAAGCGATGCATCAGAATTTACCAACAGTTTGTGGCTTTGGCTGAACGCGTGTCGTGTCTACTCTTGTGACATTCGTGTCGCCTCACGACTTGCTCGTGCTCGAATTAACGCATTGCATGCTGTCTCGTGTCCATCGCGTATCCACGTACTGGGCCCTCATTTCGTATGCGAATCGATTTCCAATCCAATTCGTTTTAGTTGGCAGTGTGAAGAGCTGCTTCAAAATTTATGGGCATAATATTGCGAATGGGCTTTATTGACGCCCTCGATTGGCCTATAGAGCTAATCAACTTATCGTCGGCTGGTTGACTGGAACTATATGGGCAACACATGTTCGTGGTTTATTTTAGAAATTAGTCGCATTCTGCATACCCTTTAAATTTGAACTAAATGACATAAGTGCAAACTTTCTTTGCCTTGTTCATAGCCTGACGCTTGTAATTCCCAACCAGTTAAAGCTTCGAAACAGCTGCTGTTATCCCTAGTTATTTAACGTATTTAACGTAAGAGCATGCAGTATAGTCTACGTTTGTATATATGCATGTTGGCTTGTAACAATCGCAAAGTGTATATCACAATTCTTTTAATAACCCGTCTGTAAAATTAATGTGTATACGTATATATGTATGTAAGTACGTAAGTATATACGTACGCATGTATGTCTGCATGTATTTGCACGTTGTTACTTGAGAACTCTACCCGCTGTGCTAAAAATTACTTTAAACATAAATCGCCCTACTATGCGATTCTCAAGAAATCAAGTAGGTCCTGCAGATTTGCATGCTTTCGTTATAAGTGTTGTATAAAAAAAAAGTGTTAGACAATTTATAAAGATGCTTTCGCTGTTTTTATGTAAGTATATGTATGTCTGTATGCATATATGTGCATACATACGCATGCGTGTATGCATGCATGTGTGTATGTTAGCATATGTATGTATGCATGCATGAATGTATGTATGTGAGCGTGTGTGTGTGGCTGCATGCTTGTGTGTTGCTATGTATGTTTGCATGCCTGATTCCATTTATATTACAAACGCAGACTTAAAATACGTATTTATGAATGCTCTGCTACGCGACTCTCATGAATTCAAGTAAGAGCGGGCTGTTTTAATGCTTTGATTAGGAATTGGAAATCTACTAAACCTTATCACCACACAAACCCTAATTTCAATTGACTCTCTTGCATTCTCTTCCTCTCTTCTATAAATGCAATATATGCAAATGGAGTGCATAGAGAAGAAACCCTATAAACCTTTCACGCTTGTTACCAATATTTGATCAATTGTTGCGATTATCTGGAGGTTGATAAAACGCTTTATAGCCACTGATAGCAGACCAGACCCGAGACGCAAATCGAGAGAAAGAGAGAGCGAACAAAACGAGAGGGAGCGAGAAAGAGAAAGAGAGAGAGCGAGCGAGATATTGTCAACTAATTAGCTGTG